ATGGAAGCTCTTCACACCTTTGGCCCCTGAGCATAGTTAGGTCAATAGGCATGATATCCATGTTCTGCAAGACTTGTTTTTACCTACTATATTGAATATGGGTTAAGAAGTTTTTAAATTTCTATGACATCTAAAAGCTCAGAAGGAAGTGAAAGGCATATTAGATATTACCAGATAAAGAGGGTTGGTATCTATTTAGTTATTTTTTTTTAAAAAAAAAGTATTGTCTTCATATGTTTTGAACAGTCATTTAAAAGGGTGAATAAAAATAACCACAGCATACAATACTAAGGGCTAAGCCTCATCTCAATTCCTGGAGGACTAAAGGCAGCTTAGGTTCACCAGCTGTTAACAGATGCAGCACTGCACTGGCGGAAATGTTGCTGGTGGAGATTACACATGTGTGGATAAAGGAGGTATGTGTAAAATTCTCATACTTTCCTCCTAATTTTGCTGTGAACCTAAAACTGCTCTCAAAGAAAGACATGTTTAACACACTGAATATACTCAGTGCTTGAGCTCCTTCTTCACATGTACATGGCTCTGGGTTCATTAAAAAAAGGAGGGGGGGGGAGAACAGGAGAAGACATCATGTTAAAGAAAAAGCGGACAACAGCCGGGCAGTAGTGGTGAACACCTTTAATCCTAGCACTCAGCAGGCAGAGGCAGAGGCAGGCAGATCTCTATGAGTTTGAGGCCAACCTGGTTCCAAAGCTACAGAGAAACTCTGTCCCGAAAACCAAAACAAAAAAATAAAACAAACAAAAAAAAAAACCCCACCAAAAAACAAAAAAAAAAAAACAAGAAAAACAAAAACATCTAAGAAATGAAAAAGAATATTTTAAATAGGTACCTAATTTACGTCTAGATTTAAAACAGCCATTTTTTCTAAAATTTTAAGCATATTTCAAAACCAAAATGGAAGTATTCAGTATCGTCCAAGTTACATTAAAAATTTGCCAAACGTTACTTTAAATGCCTTTAAATGACTACACAGCTCTAAAGTATTGTAGCATACCCCAATTTTCTGAATTGGTGAACCAAGAAAATTTATCGTGAAGTTTTGGTAAAAGTTTAAAAAAAAACTTTCCTTTTCTTTTTTTTTTTTTTTTTTTTTTGAGTTTCATGTGAGGCTGGCCTCAAGCTTAAGATGACCCTTTCTTAGTTCTGGGAATATAAGCCACCACATCCAGTTAAATGTTTTTAAAACTGGTATTTGGGGTTGGACACTTAACTCTGTGGTAGAGTTTGCTTAGTGTGTCCAAAGCTCCAGGGTTTGATCCTTTACATTAGGAAAGGGTAAAGGGCAAGTTAAATAGCCTTGAAAACAATCACATATATTCAACATGTGAAAAATGTAATCATGCTAAAGTATGACAAAAGTTAAATGTGATTCATTAGCAATATAATATTAGGAAAGGCTCTGAAATATGAAAACAATGAATTAAACGTCTTCATGTATTATTAATATCAACTCTGCTTGTTTCTTTTGAGACAGGATCTCACTATACATGTTGGCTGAGGTCAAATTCAGAGAGTCTCTTCTGGGATCAAATGTGTGCATCATCATATCAGGCTTAAATATTATTAATTCATTCAAATGTTTTCTGAGGTTTTTAAAAAGATTTATTTACCTACTTTTATTTATGTATGCATGCACACATACACAGACATGCCAGAAAAGAATGCTGGATGTCCTGAAGCTGAAGTTAAAAATGGGTGGTATTAGTTATTAGCACTTATAAAATAATGGTATTCTAATTGATGAATTTTCTTGGTAAAACCCTTGACCAGGATCCTTGTACATCAACTGGGACAAATCTTTGTTCTTTGCATCAGATTCTTGAGCAATTGCTATGAGATGGGGACATACGGAGCTCAGTAACAAAATGCTTGCCTAGCATGCATAAGCTAAAAGAAATGAAATGTGACAAAATTCAAATTTAATAGTTATTCACTGATAGTTCTTTATAAAATATGTTACTGAACATCATTAACGATTCATTATTAGCATGAGTCAGAATACATAGCATAAAAACTTGATCACTTAAAATAGATATTAACAGTAAAAATCATATGAAGATTGTTATTTTAAACCATCAATGGTCACAATCTTCCAACAGTTAAATCTCACTTTTTCTGCCTATGTTATCTACAGACAGGGAAAGCACAGCCCTATGAACATGTCCAACTTCAGGATTTAGATAGCACAAGAACTACAAGTATAATTACATTAATATCAACATTGTATTCTAAATACAATCATATAACTAATTTACAGAGTTACATATAAAATTTACTACAAAGAACTGCCTATTAAAACAACTAAATTGCTATGAAATAAAGAAGCTATATATGTCTTTGTAGAAAATACCTTTAGGAAAAATTCTTGGGTCCCTTGGCATCAATTTTAAAGATTAAAGACCCTTAAATCATTTATTTTGATTCCTCAAATACATAACATTAAAAATGTGCTTGGAGCCGGGCGGTGGTGGCGCACGCCTTTAATCCCAGCACTCGGGAGGCAGAGGCAGGTGGATCTCTGTGAGTTCGAGACCAGCCTGGTCTACAGAGCTAGTTCCAGAACAGGCTCCAAAGCCACAGTGAAACTCTGTCTCGAAAAACCAAAAAAAAAAAAAAAAAAATAATGTGCTTGGAATACTATGGCACATGTACTTTTGGGTACAAACAAGCCCAGCAAGATGGAGCAACAGGGAAAGCACTTGTCCCTCAAACTAAGTTAAGTTGAGCTTAACACCTTCAAGGTAGGAGAGAACCAACTCCACAAGAGCAACTCAACACACACAACCATACACACATCACCCAGAGACACACAAAAATAATAAACTATTTTAAAAAGCCAACCTGATATCAATACTTCATGAACACTGGTATAGCTGAACGGTTAAAATTTCCAATTATGATTTATAGATATTCTTTATAGCAAACTAGTATAAAAATATAATAGAGGAAATTTAACATAAAAAACTAGCACAGCTTTTAAAAGGCTTATATATTAAAATTAATAGCTAGATTAAAAAGTATTTTTAAAATATTATATAATAGTCCTAAACCACAACCTGATTGTACAAGGATGTTCACAGTCCCTAAATACTCCATTTACAACCATCTAACTTTATCTGACTAAAAACAGCAGGAATTCTGTCTTCTTCAATGTAATAACTCATGTAATGTGTAACTTATTTGTCCATCTCAATTTTAAAAGTTAAGAGCCTTCATTTAAGTACTGTCCTTTCACATGTAGAGATATATGAGGGAAATATTAAGAATCAATGTTTTTACTATGAAAACTGCAATTGATATATGAAGTTTCCCAGCAATATATGTTTAATTCAATGTGCATAGGAATGTTAATCACATATCTATTAAACAGTTTAAAGGGGATGCTTCATAGCATAACACTGCTTAATAAAATGGCTACTATTTTAATATATTTCTATTTCTTTTTAAAATATATTTTAAAACCCAAAGAAATGAAACCAAATTCTAACACGGTGTGATGAAACAAAGAAAAAAGTGCTATTTTTTCATTTATCATCTATAAAACAAATTTATGACATCGTAAAAAAAAATTAACAATCTAAAAAAAATTCAAAGGGGAAGAAGAGCCCAAGAAAATAGATTTATCAATTTTAGTTATTCAATCTAAAAATTTTTAGAAAGTATACCAGCATATGTGACTTAGTAGGCTATATTTAGGCACCTATTTACTACTTAAATTGTTTCATTTCACAGATCATGTTTATCTTTCCACTGTCAACAGCCAATAAGAGGAGCCAGGTCTATAGGAAAGGAAAATAGAAACCACACAGTAAAATCAGAAAGCTACCAAGCACCAGAGCACAGAAGATTAAACGAAATGGGTTCCTAGGTTCTGCCTGGTATGGATTAAAATAATCCATTAGAATGATCATTTAAAATGATCTTCCTTGGGAAGTGTGGTACAAATGTTACCAAGGACAAATAACACAATATCAAATTTTTTAGCAGAGTAATTTCAGTATTTCAGACATGAATTCATACTAGTCAACAAGCAATATAAAATCCACCCAGTTTCTTTTACTTTAGAGAGTAAACCAAAACAAACCTCTTTCCTCGTAAGTCTCTTAAGTCCAAGACCCCACTACAGAATTTTTATTTCCTTCACTTGCAAACTGTAAACTCTTCCCCATTCTGAAGCAATTAGTTAATAGAAAGGGATTTACGAGCAAAGGGTATTTATCGTTTCCTGGGGAAAATTTTTTAATGGGAAACAATGACCTTCCGTTTGGTATTACGCATTTTTAAAAATTATAACTCAACTGTAGAATTTTACCATGTAACCAACTATCAATTTTTAAACAGCCTTTGGCTACTCTTTTTTTTCTTAAGTTCAGTCTCTTAAAGAGACAGTATCTCTGGATCAATGACAGATGAAACAGTTCTAAAAAGTTTGATTACCAAGAATCTTTTCTGGCATTTCTTCAAATCCACTCTTCATTATCAATTTCCTATATTGTTTTATTATAAAACCAAATTATCTTGACATCAACTTGCAAATGACTATGATGATGACACAGTACAGGTGGTACTGTCGTTAGAGGCATCTGAAATATAGGTTACCTATACTTTCTTACAACAAGCAAATTATCTGACTTTTGGAGAACTCTCAAGGATCCAGGGAAGTTTTTTCCTGCATTTCCCATTCATTCATTAGGCACAGGCAATATGAAGCCAACAATATTGGGTGCTAGAAAAATGAGGTTTCATTGTCTAATGAAGGGAAGGTTTATTAAGTAACATCAACCTCAGTCCAATCCGTGAAACATGCACATGCCCTAAAATCTGGACAATCATCTGATTTTAACGAATATTTTCATCTTTCAATATACTTACTTAAAAGCACATTTTTATGTCTATCTATTAACATAACTATAGACCAACTCCCACACTCCCACACATGGATCCCGGCAAAGAAGGGATTAAAAAGTCTGGCTTACTTGGTGTACAAATACATCCACTGGAATATCCAAGGGGTTTCCCTCTCGGTTTATCATGGAGATGAATCCAAATCCCATGCGCACATTGAACCACTTACAGTGGCCAGTTCCATGCAGAACCTGGGATTCTTCCTCTGCCAGCTCAGGCAGCTTTTCTGGCTCTTCACCTTTGCTTGCCCCGCCTGACATGGAATAACACAAAAAGTCAGTTAGTCTGCATTTCCACACCATGCACAACCAATAAATAAATAAATAAATAAAATCTTGTGAGAAGAGAAGCTAGAAAACAAAAAGTTGATAAATGTTCTTTAAAATTATCTACAACGAAAAGGGTTAAAGGCAAAGCAGAGAGAGGAAGCCACACTGCTGCATCGCTCACACCAGCTTCCACGTTTCTGCACATCCGCATACTTTCTCATCTATCTCCGTTGCTCGGTAACATTCTACAGTTACAGCCTGGGCCACTTCACTCACATACTGCTGACCTAATACTATTCCAGTTTACACAGAGCAGTTTTTCAGAGAGATTGGTTTTTCTAGCAAACAGGAAGAGAAATCCTGAGGACGGTTGGCTGCCGGTTTATGCACATGCGGCAGAGGGAATCCCGGGTTATTTGCAATGTGCATTCATTCCCCTCCCCCTAACTTTCAATTAAAGTTAGGGTAGAATGGGGGAGGGGGCAGGTGTATAAAAGTTTTCTTGGACTCACTAATTGAAACTGCGCGCAATCACACGCACACAATCAAACAATAGCCCCCTGAAAGCTTTCCAAGTTGTGAATCAGTGTGGGCGGTACAAAACATTTTGGAGATCTGTAACAATAGGTTTTTGCCGAAGCCCCATGGTACTATGAGGGGGTGGGGAGGTAATGCCCAGTTATTAGGGTAAAGGGGGATAGGCGAGAAGGGGTGAGAAACTGGGTAGTGGAGAGAAGCAGGGAAGAAAAGAAGAAAGAAATCAGAGTAAAACAATAGAAAAGAAAATTAACCTTCGGCCATGTTGCCCCACCGGCCCTCAGCTTCACACTCGAGAGATGAAAACTTTCCCTTTGGACCGGAGTGGTCTTCAGCATCCGTCTAGCATCTTGATTTTGTGCGATCACAAATTTAGTTCGCATGGTCTAATGTGCTTTCCTCCTTTTGATTTTTTTTCCTCTTCTCTCTCCAGTTTCTGGCCCCCTGAGCACACGTGACTTTGTCAATTACATGCTTTCTTGCTACTAATTTCACCTCGGATCCTTAAGGGGCTGGCAAGAGGAAGAGATAACCAATCGCCATTTCATCTGTGCTGACATCAAAATAATTTATGAATGAACACGGAAAACTCAAACGTGTTTTCTTAAAGACAATTTGAGACGCTTCTTTATGATTAATCAGAATGCTAATTTTGTACTATTTAAACACAACGAAGGGTCCTTGTGAATTGCTGGTTTAGAAAAGCGACAGTCGGTATTTGCACACGCGTGCTCCACACACAAGCCTTTCTAATCTCATAGGGGAGCCATTGAAATAAAGCAACTGACGTTATGATCCCCCACACACTGCACAGGCAGTCTGTTATTCCATAGCACCAAACCACCTTAGGGACGTTAATTTAATATTTCATTCGTGGGGGAGAAAATGCAATTCCTAAGCCCAAATTTAAACTTAATTACATTAACCATTAACTTAAGATATTGGTAACATAAACCTGCCAAAAGCAAAAGCACACCTAATTCCAACCTGAATTTTTTTTTAAATGTAAAATAAAATCCTACTGGGAAAAAAAAATCACTACTAATTTCCTATCAAATAGTGCTGTTCATTTCAGAATATTTTCGAGAGGTATAGTAAGAAATTGTACTTCACAGGTTTCTCCGCCATCTCTTTCCGGGGGAGGAGATGTGATTAATGACTTCCTAAATAACAGCCCAGTTTTCCAGCCTAACATAGAGAGAACCTCAATCAGTGGTGATTGTTCCCCAAGAGCAGGAGACTCAGGGAGAGGGGGAGGGGAGAAGTGTGAGGAGGTGAAGAGGGATGCAAAGGCGACAGCGGGAGAAAAAGGCTGCACTGCTGGGGTGGGGAGAGGGCACATGGGGAAAGGTAAATCGGTGTAATATTAACTGGACTCTGACATCTTGGAAGTCTATTGCCAGCAAGCAGAACGCTCAAATACAGGGGACTGTAATAACGTGGTGGGTTCATCCCGTCCCTTCCTGTTGGCCCCCTGCATCAAAACACCTTTTGCTTTTCAAATTGGATTTATCATGTTTATAACAATATTAATCACCTTATAGAATATTTCAAAAATATTGCATATTAATTAGAAATTATTCTATTTTAAAATATAAAATATTATCTGCTTTGAAACATTATAAGGCTTCCACCAGTCTTTTGCTGCCCCATCCCCCATTTTCTTAAACAAGCAGTTTACAGAAAAACTGTAGATACCACTTCCCTTCTTCAAAGCTACCCGCTGACCCTCCCCCACCATGCTCGCGCCCCCTCACCCCATCTCTCCAAGCAATCCCACATTCTAACAGTGCTTCACACAAATTAAAATGTTGGGATTATGAAAAATCCACATACACCTATTAACACCCCTTCTCATACTGAAAAAACTAAAATAAATTTAAACTAATTGGCTCAGATCCGAAAATAATCAGTGCATAAAGAAATTATTTTCAGCTGTTTGTGATAAGTGGTGTCAATCAAAACTGATCAATTAGGAAAGATTTTTTTTTTGTCAGTTTCTTTCTTTTGTTGTTCTCAGGAAGGAGGCAAGCTTTTATTTATTTTGAGAAGGATAACAATGTACCAGCTGGTGGAGAGAAAAAAAACTAAAAAATCCAAACGATTTTCCAAGTTAACAAGTCCCACATTCTGAAGAGGTTGTTTGCTAACAAAGCATTTACTAAACAGTATTTTAATGATAGAAATGGATTACTACCATACTTGTTACAATATATATTATAATTTTGAATGTTATTTTTTGTAATTTAAAGAATTACATTTTTAAAACGCTTATATCTAATAACTTTAAAAAGTATTCATATAAATTGGGATAATGCTATTATTTATGCAAAAGTATCATAAAATTAACAGGCTTGTAAATTTTGGGTTGTTTACGGTGGGTTACATTTTATCTACAAATTTGTTTTGTATTTTTAAGAGTTTACTAGTAACTCAAACAACAATATATAAGTGGATTCTGAGTCCTTATCTTCTTAAATTTGACAAATTTCAGATATATTGACAGTATATGTAAGGTAGAAACTCCACTGCTGAACCACATTGGATGGTACAGTTATGGGATTCACAGTTGTGCCTGATTAGGGGCCTCCAGTATTCAAAGCATTAAAATAGGGTTCACCAGACTGGTCACTGGTGTCAGAGGTTATCAATTCATTCATTTCCTGAGCGGGACATCAGCCTTTCAAGTTCTATAGAAGGCTTTTCCAACTAGGAACCCTGAGAAAACTTCTAAAATTCATTCACAAAGAATTTAAGGCAAAAACCATTTACATACCTTGGGGTGGAGAAAAGAGAGGGAAAGAGAGGTAAGAGAAGGCAAAAAAGAAACAGGAAGGAAGTTGAAAAGGGAGAGAAAAGGAGACACACAATCTCATCAATTCAGAACTATGGCACTGTCTTTTAAGTAGATTATTCTTGTCTGCCCCTTCCCCAAATCTTTTGAGCCTTTTTAAAAACTGACCATAAGCTCTTAAGGCTCAGAGTGCTTCTTTCATATAAAATGCTTCTTAGGAGTCTCCTACAATGCTTTTCAATTTGTCACCTTCTCAAGTCTTCTGGTTTTAATTTTTTTCTCATTTCCTACTTGTTTTTAATGCCAGAAAGACCTGCGTTTGACTAAAATGCATGTTTTAAACCTTCAAAAGCCAAATGTTTCACAACTTGATTTATCATAGCTCTTCCAAAATGTCTTTAAAATTAGCTCAAGTCCTACATGGACTCCTCAGCTCAACACAGGACGGAGGAGATGAAAGCAATCTGTCACATGTCCTTTGGTTATCACACTTAGCTTTCCCAGTTTTTAAAGGTGGTACACATTTTCTCATCTGAACTACTCCCCAACATAATGCTCGGACCTCCATCCTTGCTCACTGTTAAGACTGTTAAACACTGTTAGACTGTGTGCCTTCTACTAAAGCATAAACAATGCTTTGGTTGTTGTGAAAACGATGAGGGGCTGTGGCACAGCTGGACCTGTCTTGTCCTCTGTAAGTAAGGAGAGGTCTCCAGCCCTAACTCTGTCTCAGCAGCTAGCACTTTCCTGTGCTGCTCCTGCCCCCGGGGTTCCCAAGCCCAACTCCAGGGCCAGCATATCTGCCCTTTCCTTCCTTTTTCTTCCAGCAACTTCCTCATCTTTCTGTGTCCTACCCCTCGACCCTTTATGCCTCATTCCACCACCTTCCCTCTAGAAACCTAGTCACTTCACAGAAGGCAGTTGATGTCTAAGGCACTTTAAAACATTTGTCATCTTGCTCTTCAAAACAAACAAACAAACAAAATCCTTATCTTCACCACTAGGACAAAACATTAACCCCAATACAGACTTTTTACTTAATTTATGAATGTATCTTTTATAATTGCACCTATGAGATGCTAGAATATTCTACATCTAAGCAAGGTGAAACTCAAGAGAAACTCGTGAAGTGACTGACTGTCCCCGCCCCTGCCCCCACCCGCCATGCTTAAAATGAGCAAACTGGAGGCTGCAGTTGGAGCTGGCAAGCAGCAAACACATCCGTCTGCAGCGCCTTTCTCAGGAGGATCTGGAAAGCGGAGGTCGGGAGGGGACTCAAGGCCTGTAGATATGGGGACCCCATCTGTCCCTGCGTAATCTTTCCCGCGTAGTTTGGGTAAAGGCTATTGACCTGCCTGTCTTGGAAACCCGATCCGATTCCACCCACTCCCTGAGTTTCAGCGAGGTGCTGGGAGTAACGTCAGTGGATTAAAACGGGGTGTCAGAGGAAGGCAGCCCCCGACAGAGTAGGTCCGCAGAGGTACCCCAGTACCTGAGGGCGTTTGTTTTCGTTTCCAAAAGCAAAATTCCGATCTCGTACAATTTTTTGTTTTTGTTATGTTTCGTTTTTTTCTAAACCGGGAGACAAAAATGCCCTGACTTCAAGCAATTTTTCTTTTTAGAGTTATTCATAATTGTGAAAAATCTCTTAAAATTTTTCTTAAATACCTTTTTAACTATATTGCTCAGAGACTATTGTAGAAGCAGAAAAACTTGTTATACCATAAATCTTAAGTTTTTCGTTTAAATCACTTTTATATTTCACAAACAAGGTATTTGTAAAGGTTTTTTTTGGGGGGGGTGTCAGGTACTTTTGCAATGAAACAAAATTTGAAACAACAAAATTCATAAACGGCATTATTTTAAAGCCACCATTTTGTAAAATGTTTTGAAAAACTAGCAAAATTTCTTTACAGTAACATTTTTATCTTGCAATAAAAAGAAATAAAAATGGAGTATTGCTTTTCTAACATATTGAACATATGTTCAATATTTTCTTGAAATATGTTAGTTAAGATGGTAACTTTGTGGATAATCTTGTAGTAATAACTAAGCTTTCCATAACTATTCAGAATAGCACAAAAGAACTTTAATTTGAAAAAATATAGGCACTATTTTCCACATATATTACTTGTATATGTATGCTTCATAATTCAAAGACCATTTTATAGTAAATAGAAATGTCTGAGTCTATAAGATGAAAAACACAGAGTACACGTATTTATTCTCCCTCCGCTAAAATTATTTACTGGTTAATTATTCAAAACCTCATCTCATAAAAACAAATAATCAGCTGAAAAGAGTGTGGTCTAGCTCTCAGGATTATTTCATATTTGCTCTGAGAGTCTACTTAGCATAACAGAAATAGGAAGTTGGAGAAAGGTGGGGAGGGAAAAATGAGAAGAGTGAGAGCAGTAGAGCAAGACCATCCAGCTAAAATCTGGGGAGCCCCACCAACCCAGTAGCAGCCTCTGCTCACTCACTCTCCCCGCCAACTGCATGATGCCAGGGTCCCATAGGTAGTCAAAGCCTTTCTGTTGAAAGTCCACCCTATAGAACAACCTCCCTTTGGTGAAAGCAGTACCTCATCTCCAACTCTCTTTTTCAACAAGAGGAAGCAGACAAGAAACTTTATTGCAGTCATTTAACACATTGGTGTGAACATTTTTTCCAAACAGAAAAATGCCAGTTTACCTCCAGAAAAGCCCCACAATCGAAAGTAAGAAGAGAAAATGCTACACTAACATTTTCTATCAAATTTTAACAATGTTCTTTTTCATGAAACTTAGAGCATTATCAACATGTTAAGTTTTATTTCACAAAAGTAGTATTTGCCAAAAGGCAGCATTGCTATGGCTTTTCCATTAAACAGCTGATAATTTCTTTCTCTAGTTATACAATCCTTAATAGTAAACTTAATAATAAGATATCATTTTATTATGAATCATTATATATCTGTGTATCACAACTCTTAAGGGGTGCTAATCTGAGACTCAGTCGGAGCCAGGTGTGCAGGCACACACACATTCAATCCCAGCACTCCTAGCAGAGATAGGAACATTTCTGTGTGGTCCATGTCAGCCTTGTCTACCAAGCAAGTTTCAGGCCACACACAGGGCCACATAGCAAGACCCTCTCTCAAAAACAAGATAAGGAAAAAAACCAACTAACCTCAGACAGGTTTTTATTCATTAGGGAAAATGCCAGAGTAACATAATATTATCAAATAAGAGTGAGTATTACAGACAAAATTCAATAATAAAAGAAAATAAAATTCTGTATCTACGTCTGAGTTTAACTTCAACCAATTCCATTTACAATAGGAAAATAAGCAGATTTTGGTAGCTACACATGAAGAGCAAAATAAAGAAAGAAAGCTCCCTGGATTAATGAAATGAAACTTCCTCAGAAAGTCCACTTTACATACAATGAATTATTTGAAAACACTACCATATCTGAACTTTATTTCAAAAGAAATGTTAGAATCTATCAGGAATCACAGAAATAAATAAGCAAGGGATTTGTTTCCATACATGTTTAAGCATGTTATCTGTCTTACTCAAGTTATGGAGAGAAAAAAAAAATCCCAAGGGCAAACACTGTCAAACAGAAGGCAGGCAAACAGAGCATGCCACCCACACAACTGTGCTAGGAAGAGCACTTGTAAAGACTACTCTGGATATGACGCCAACTTTCCCAAGTGGAAAATCCTTAGGGTTGGTCAAGTCCTCTCATATGCCTCTATTGCTCCCTCAAGGCATTAGATTAAGTAAAACATTTCATTTAAAAAACAGACTAACCTGGGGCTGATGAAGCCTGGTTGAAAGACCTCATCTTCTTCGGAAGTACCTAAAATAAGAGAGCTCAAGTCATTACTACTGTAGCTGCCTATTCTGCTTCTGCAACTTAACAACTCATTAAGAAACAAGAAATGTCCACATTTTAACTCTGTGAAGTCACTTACAAACTGGTCTTTACAAAACAGCCTAGATAACCACTTGCCACAAACTTATCTGTAAACCACTATCAAGGGACACTTGCTTACAAAAATAAAACAAGAGCATTCAGATGCAATAATCACAATTTTATGAATGTAGCTTTAAATTTTTATTTGACTGTTTGGTTTTGGTTTTTCAAGACAGTGTTTCTCTGGTTATCCTGACACTCTCTTTGTACACCAGGCTGGCCTCCAACTCAGAGAGATCCACCTGCCTCTGCTCCCCAGTGCTGGGATTAAAGGTTTAAGTACTCATTATTTTTCAGTTAAAAATCTACCTAACCTACAATAACATGTTTCTTGATAAATTTCACTATCTATTCAAATATATTCTAGAAGATAAATCATAAAAGAATTAATCATGTTCTGGGAAACTAATTATAACCCTATATCATGGATCTTTTGTTGCATTCAAATAATGTTTGTTCTAATTTTTTGAGACGGGGTTTCAACTATGTAGCTCCTGATAGCCTCAAACACATAGCAATCCTTTTGCCTCAGTCTCCCAAATCCTAGGATTACAGGCAAACTCTAGGATTACATGCATGACCTACTGTGCCTAGCTTCAAATACTTTTGGGTGGGGCAGCAAGGTCTCTCTCTATAGTCCTGGCTGTCCTAGAACTCACTATTTAGACTAGGCTGGGCTTGCACTCAGAAATCTGTCTTCCTCTTGAGTACTGGGTGCCACCACACTCAGCTTTCAAATACATTTTAAAGATAAAATTACTTGAGTAGTAATATATTTAATTAAAAAGTAACTATATTTAAAGACATAAAATACATATTAACCCAAATTTTAAAAGTAAAAACTTTTCATTTTAAAAATCTAAGTATTAAACTGGGTGTGGTGGTGCATACTTTTAATGCCAGTACTCCAGAAGGACGAAGATCTGAGTTCAAGGCAAGCCTGGCCTATATAACAATTTCCAAGACAGCCAGAGCTACACAGAGAAAACCTGCTTTGAAAAACCGATAGATAGATAGATAGATAGATAGATAGGTAGGTAGATAGATAGATATAGAAAAAAATCTAAGTATTGATGTTTCTACCACAGCTGTTAACAAATGCTACAACACAATGAAATTTGTATTGAACACGCCACACAAGTAATAGCCCTGGGAGGAGAAAATCCTGTTGACCAATGGGTTATCATTCAGTTACTAGAATTTAAACAGATAGGTTGAAACATGCAGCTAGTTACCTAATACATTCAATGTTCGTCTTTCCTTACCTAAGTTTTAGGCTCTGAATCTGCTATATATTCACACACACACACACACACACACACACACACACACTTTAGTTGCGATCTAACATCTTCTCAAAGGAAATGGAGGCTTTCCCAGGTATGGAGTTTCACTGTGTTGACTTGAGTTTTGTTTTGTTTTTACAAAAGGACAAACCAACTAACTAACGTTTGAAAACAATAAAAGAACATAAACAAAAGGCACAGGAACTTCTGTGCACTAACTCCGTCAGCTATCCTGTGTTTACAACAAAAATAAACAAGACAATGACAGGCTATAACTTTAGCAAATTTCAGTAAATATTATTCACATGAGTTCTCTTTTACATTGGGTGTATCTCAAGTCTTTTTTTCTCAGTTGATTTATGTGTGTCTATTATAATTAGTATCTGAGTAAAGCCTGGGCTTATACTTTTAACAGCCACAGGCTACACTCAGTCCCCTGTTTATACTCACAAAAAAGTTCAAATCAACGTAATTAAAAGACGTAAAAATAAAATAAGTGAGGCTAGTTTTTGAAACTTTCAAATAATTTGGAAAAATTATGTCAGATTTAATAAAGCAAAATTATTGTCATAGAACTGGCTAGATACTGTTATTTAATTTAGGAGTTGTAAGAACAGCCAGGCACTCAGGAAGCTAACCAGGTAGGACCTTGATTTTGAGGACAGCCTTGAACAAGACCCTATTTATTTATTTTTCTTCTTATGTATGTGTCCGCATGTAGGTATGCACAACTGCAAGTAGAATCCCAAAGTGGCAGAAGAGGGTGTCAGATTGCTGGAGCTACAGTTACAAGCAGTTATGAACTGCCAGACATGAATGAGAAGCTACGGGGCAGGAGAGAGAAAGGGAGAGAGGGAGGGAGGGAGGGAGGGAGGGAGGGAGAAAGAGTGTACCAGGTCAGGCATGGTGCCCTATGCCTTAATCACAGCATTTAGAAGGCAGAGGCAAGCAGATCTCTGTAAATTCAAGGCCAGCCAGGTCTACACAGTTCCAGGCAAATTAAGGCTACACAGTGAGACACAGTACCAAAATTTTTTCCCCCTGATTTTCAAGATTGGGTTTCTCTGTGTAGCTCTGGCTATCCTGGAACTTGCTCTGTAGAGCAAGCTTGTCTTAAAGAGAGATCTGTCTGCCGCTGCCTTGCAAGTGCTGCAATTAAAGGCATGTGCCACCTGCCTGACTCACAAATGCTTAATTATAAATGGAGGATTCAAAGTGCAAAGTATCCAAGGAAAGAAAGCCAAGTAACTTGAGTAGTAGTCAGATATTTCAATTATTAATTGAATTTCATAATTTTCAATTATACAAACTCATAAGATATTTTGGATTATATTAACATGCTTTTCAACAGAAAATAAAATAAAATAATTACACAAAATTCATATATTTGACTAATGCTGGGTCTTCTTTGCTCGCTGTACTAGGACCAGGACCTTGAATAAGGCATCAACAGAGGTTTACAGGTCTTCAACCTTTCTTTCCATTTTCCTTTCTTTCCTTTGGTTTTTGAAGACAGGATATCACTCTGTATTCAGGCTAACCCCAAACTTGCTATCTAGCCTCTTGACTCAGTCTGCTGGGATTACAAATGTCATACCATTTTTCCAAATTAAAAGTTAGTAGATAGAATTAAGTTTAAAAATGGATTATAATCAATCCATACACTATTTACTGAATGACTACAGTTGAAATGAGATAGGTAAATGTTATATGCAATTATTTAAAATTCATTTTCAGCCAGGAGGTGGTGACACATGCCTTTAATCCTAGCACTTGGGAGGCAGAGACAGATGGATCCCTGAGTTCATGGCTACCCTGGTAAACAGAGCAAGTTCTAAGAAAACCAGGGCAACACAGAGAAACCTTGTCTTTAAAAATCAAAAAAAGTAAATAAATAAAATTCATTTTCAAAAATTAATTATTTAAGTGCATACATATAGTACTACAAAAAAACAGCTATTTTATATATGGGCATTTTTATTTAATATTGTGATTTCTCTAAAATATTTCATATAACACCCATTAACTTTTAAATTAAAATTAAAATTTTGGAATATATTTCTGTCATTTCACTAGACTAATCCCTGTTCATCATTTAGATCCCCCTTGCAACTCTTCTTTATACTTTTTACCGAGTACAATGCTTTTACCAGGTAATAATGGTTTGTAATTTCCTGTAATAGCATTCTGAAAAGATGTTCTTTCTCCCAACTTCATTGGGCTCTGTGACAGCAGAGACTGTAGTATACTTAGCTCACTGTGATTATCCTGTATTTTCCTATCTTTCTTCCTTCCTTCCTTCCTTTCTTTTTCTTTCCCTTCAAGACAGGGTTTCCCTGTGTAGCTCTGTCTTGGCTGGCTGGACTGGAACTGACTCTTTAGACCAGGCTAACTTCAAACTCACAGAGATTTGCCTGCCTTGCCTTTCAAATGATAGGATTAAAGGCATGTCCCACCACTGCCCAGCTTTGAAAAGTATTTTAAACAACAATTTTTGTGATCAGCTGGTGGTGATCACAAAGTTCCAGCACTTGGATGGCAGAGGCTGGTGTATTTCAGTGAGTTCGAGGCCAGCCTGGTCTACAGAGCTAGCTCCAGGACAGCCACAGCTATATAAAGAAACTCTGTCTTGAAAAACTAAAAAAAGAAAAAATTCCCTAGGTTTTTTTTTTTTTTATGAAAGGGAAAAAATCTTTTCAAAACAAAGTGAGCTGATTATTGAGTACTGAACCTATAAAGTACATATATAATTTCAGTTTTAGTTTGTTTTAAATACATAGGGCCTGAGAATGTAGCTTAGATGGTAGACTTTGTCTAGCATGCATGAGCGCCTGGGTTCAATCTGCAGCATGATATACACACAAATATAGAGAAAAATACAGACATATACATGCATACAAACACACATCACTTCTGCTTTAGAACTACCTGATTTATAATCATTATGTATTACAAACACTCCTAAACTTTATGGTTTTCATTAAAATATTGAATAATATCTGTTATATTTTGTAAAAGTCCACTATGACAATTAACTGCACAGGAAAATGATTCTTACTTTGAATTAAGTCATTCATTGAAACACTGACAAACTGTTAAGTCAACAAAACTGAGTAATAAATTTAAAAAAAAAACTAGTATATATTATTCCAAATTTTTTCTTGTTAACTTTTATTTCTAATATTTATAAAAGAGAAACTAGCTTTATGTCAGCAAAAAGTAATTTAGCAATCAAGAATAATATTCACAATTGGAAGATTATTCCACAAGTCCCCAACCTTTTAAGAGATATTAGATATTTTTTATTATTGGTACTGACTAAACTGATATAAAGATATTGACTTTGTAAATATTCAACCTATAGCTTACAGTAAAAATTAGTCTACTTACAATATGTTTTAAATATTATTATACAAATACATTTCTGGAAAGCAAAATAGACAACAATGAATTCTTTTTTTCTTTTCTTATTTTTGTTTTGTTTTTGTTTGTTTGTTTTTAGAGACAGAGGTTCTCTATGTAGTCCTAGCTGTCATGGAATTCAAAATGTAGACCAGGCTGGGATCCAACTCAAGGAAAACCCCCTGCCTCTGCCTTCTGAGTACTGGGATTAAAGGCGTGTGCTACTACCACCCAGCTAATGATTTTTCTTAAAATAGCTCAGAAAAAGTTTTTAAAG